GAACAGCTAGGTCACAGCAGATTCTACTTGAGTTACAGATTTACCAAAAGAGGATAGATTGTCGCATCTCTCGGCATATTGAATGAACATAAATAGAGAGGCTAAGACGATGTTTTGATTTACTTGGATTGTGTAGCGAGAACGCGCTCTAGTGAAGAGGGGCACGGAGCACGTATCTCGACACTTCAAAGGGATAGCACATGCGAAATGTCAATTGACTTAAACGGAAAGGGTAGAGATGAAATCAAGGAAAGGAAAAGAGCCCTTAGGATCTAAAATTTTCATTGTAAGATCAAGTGCAATTACAAGAAGAAGGAAAATTTCTGGATGCGTGCATTCCGGTTTTGCAACCTCTAATTCAAGAGATTTGTACAACGGTAAATGGGATTGGAAAAAAAAGGTTTCGAAAAATCAACTCTGAAATATGGTGCACTGGAGAGCGCCCAATAATTGGGAATGCCACACAAAAGAAACATTGCTTTCAAAAATAATTCATTTTTGATTGAACAACATTTGAGCGAAAATAGGAAGTAAACAAAGGGAAATTACAATCAATCACCCGTAATCAATAATCTGGATAAAATCTCATATTTGATATATATTAATATGCATAAATATTAGTCCTAGAACCTATGACAGTTAGTAAACCATAACCGATTTCAAAATATTGGTTGCGTGAAGATCGGAACAAACAAGAGGTTCTTCCCAGAAGACATAAACTATTTGATAGCATTTCTAGGCAATTCTGTAATTGTATTCTTAATCATCACATGATTCTAAATTCACTGAGCATTAGGAACACTGTCTGAGATTCTTGAAACGGCAGAGTGGGTGATCCGCACACAATCTGCTTCTGTTATATGGCATCATAGCCGTGATACACAAATGTCATGCAACTCGACTTTTTCGTCAGGTGTCGTTTCGTGAACCTGAAAAAAAAGCATAAGGAGATGTGAAATACTTTCGAATTACAGCTTCATTAATGTTCAAGTCAATTTTAG